CTTTGTTCCGCGTCGATTCATTGTTTTAAATATTATAATTCACTTTTGTTGAATCGAAGCATTGTATCGATTATCATTAAGCGACGCGTTATTTTCTTTGTTCTGCGTCGATTTATTATTTTAAAACGCGTTATTTTCTTTGTTCCGCGTCGATTCATTGTTTTAAATATTATAATTTACTTTTGATAAATCGAAGCAATGCTTCGACTACGATTAAGCTACACTTTTATTTTTATATAAGTATTCGCTCTCCTTCCTTTTCTTTTTCTTTTTTTCATTCAACTTCTTAACTTTAATACTTAACTTCTTTCTTAACCTCAACACTTAACTTCTCAACCTTAACCTTAACATTCAACTTCAACTTCTCAACCTTAATACTCAACTTCTCAACCAACTTCAACATTTAACTACAAGTTTACAACCACATTTAACTTAAGTAATTATTTTCCTTTTGATTCTTTGCTTTTTAATTCTTTACTTCAAGCTAATTATTTTCTTTATTTAATAATATCGATTCCTTTTCTTTATAACGCTATAATCGAGGTCAACCTTTTTAACACCGGTAGCAACAAGCTAATCAACGAGATACTTAGTCGTTATAAAGATTTCGTAGTCGTTTATGCTAATAGTAACGTTGTTAATTCAATGTTTACTTGCTATAACGAAGAAGATACCGCTTTGTTTTTAAGACTAATCGGCCTCGATTACGAATAAAAAGGTCGCAAAGGTTTTGTCGACGAGTTCGGCATTAAGCATTACGATGCTAATAAAGTTAGTAATAACATCTATATATTATAATCACTGATTGATTTTTTATTTAAAAAAAGAGCGCTTAAGTCTTTTATCTCTTCGACCACTTTGTCTCTTTCCTTAACTTAATTGAAAAGCAATTCACTTATAAAGATGTTAAAGTTCGATTGATCTTAAGTGATCTTATTCTTAAGCTTTTCGATAACGATTATGCTAAAGCTAAAAGCATCTTGAAAGAGTTATTAATGCTATACCTTTTCACTATCGATAGCACTTTAGCATACAAACGCTTCACTTTTAAGTTCTCGGATGAAAATGAGTTTAAGTAAAGCAACAAGTGTTAAAAGCTAAAAGAGCTACTTAAGTCAGACGAGATTTATTTGAATTATGCTTACAAGTAAGAACTTAAGCTAAAAGCGGAGACCGAGTTGAACGTATTTTACGTAACTGCAAAAGGACGGGTCTTTATCAACTCTTTATAACTAATAGACTTAGGCTAAAGAACGAGTCTTTTAAACCCTTAGGCCTTTGTAACTAATAAATTTGACTACTACTCTAAGTCTTTGATTAGTAAATGTGATTAGTAAATGTGATTAGTAAATGTGATTAGTAAATGTGATTAGTAAATGTAATTAGTAAATGTGATTAATAAACTTGATTAGTAATTATGCATATGCATATTTTTATGTATATAAACCTTATAGAGTAACCTTACGCCTTATGGGGTTTCCTTATAAGGAGGGGCAGAATTTTGTACCCCCCGTGGGTTCCCCCGTAGGGAGGACTCAAAACTCCGTGGGGCCCCATAGGGCCCCATGGAGCAGCCTATTTTCGCAAAAAAGTTTGAAAGTAAATACTTATATATTTATTTACTAATCGATTTATTAATCACTTTTAATAACGAACTTATATGCTATTTACGCTAAGCGAATAACGATTTAAATTAAGAATATAGCGTTAATTAAGAAATTGCGAGAAATCATAACTAGAATTTTTATTTAATAATTTTAGTTTATTATAATATAATATATAATGTTATTATAAAGTATAATATATATAATTAATAAATATTATAAATAAATATAATTACTAAGTATAATTATTAAATAATCGTAAATTTATTTTATTTTTAACTGCATTATATATGTTGTTTTAAGCTGTCTTACTTTAAATCTTTAAAGTTTCTTTCTCTTCCGTAAGGAATTTAACTTCAAAAAATCCTTTTTATAAGGTTTTTAAAAAAAAAGTCCCTTATCGGCCAAGACTATATAAAAGGAATAAGGAGGAAAACCTTATAGGGCCCCCACTTTATAGAGCAGCTTAGTTTTAGGCAAAGTAAAGTAGTTGTTAATAATATAACGACTTTAAGCGATTACTTAAAAGAACTTACGGGAGCGCGAAGTTAATATAAAAGCTTAAGAGAATTCTAAAGTAATAACTTAGAATCAATAATTACCGAATATAAAGGTCGAAGGTAGCTAAGGTTTATATACACGAAAGTAAGAGCGCTAAAGACTGGTGAACTATGGTTTATAGGTTAAAAAGAAGGGAATAAAAGAATACGAAGAAAAAGGGAAGGAGGTAGCTTGGCGCATATAAGGATACGTCTAAGAGATCTGACGTGTCGTCACAATAAGGGCAAAAAAAAAAAGTATCTTTATTAATAAATGAAAATTCTTTTTTATTAGTGATAAAAAAGAGTTTTTATCGAAAGGCCAAAATATTGCACTTTAGCCATTGCGGCATTCCGAAGTCCTAACCTACTAAAAAAGGGTTTTGCTAACTTGAAATCGTAATTGTTAAATATTAAAAGAAATCGAACGAAGGTTAATTGGATTGCGAATCAGGCGATTATAATAAGCTATATAAAAACAAAAACTAAAGGTTGAAATCTTTACGTAAATTATTAATATAAAAGCACTTAAAAAAAGCTGTCGTATAATAGCTTAACAACAAAGCTAGCCTTTATAGTATTTATAAAAAATGCAAAAAAAGATAGGTGGAAAGCTCGTTAATTGTTTTAGCTAATAGATGTATGCCCTCTTATAAAAGATGGGTCTGCTTAGTGTGGCCCTAATGGCCCTGACAGGAAGCATGTCAGGCGGGGTGTTTACAGCAGGCTATATTAATATTAATAATAATTCTTTATTCATATGCAATATAAAAGAAACTATTAAATATGAAATCAAAAGTTTAGGAATTATAATCGAAAGCCTATCTATTATCAAACTCCAAATGGTTCCGCACTTTAAAGAAAATATTATTATCCGCTATCCCATTCCAAACCGTATCCGCATTCCACATTCTGTACTATTTCTTTTCAAGATATTCTGTTATTGAATACAAAAAGATCCCAATCGCAAATTGATAAAGAAAATCATTACTTTAGCTTAAAACAAATTCTTTTATGCTTTTTCTTTATAAGAAGACTTAAATATCTTCTTCATCTTGTTCGTCAGAGGATTCGGATGCTTCAAAAGCATCTTTCTTTTTCTCGATCGAGCGTCTTTTTAGCGAAATCGTACGCTTGCGAGCTATAGCAGCCATGAGCTGCTCTTGAGTAGCCATAAGATTCTCTCCTTGTGGTTTAGCTTCGGTACCGGCAGTGTTTACACGATAGGCTTTATTGGTGTAAGACTTGGCGGAGCTTGGATTGGCGGCCACAGAAGAAGCTCGACGGGTAGTTGATAAATAATTCTGCTTACGAACATCTTCTTCGGCCTCGACTGTAGGAGTCAAGTACTTAGTAGATGGCGTAGGCTCGTTACCAAGACTGCGAATATTATATTAGCTCTTTTCAAAGTATTGAATAATAAAAGAATGCATTATGAATATATCAATACATACACAAGCGATCGGTAATTATTAATTACCATGCCGGGGGTTTCGCTACGCTCACGGCTCGCATCTCTGAAGCTCTTTATGCTACCTGGAGTTTCGCTACGCTGACGACGAAAAGAGCGGCCGATACCGGACTCAGCACGGCTGCTACTGCTGCATATGCGAACGATCTTAGAACGGACCTTTTCGTTCAAGATAGGAAGGATAGCCTGGCCTTCATGATTAACGACGCCGGTAAGGGTATCGTAATCATGGCCGAGCATCTTATACAACTCCGGCAGACCCCAGTCATAAGTGCGAAGGTTGCTCAGAGTTGGACGATTATCGGCAGCAAGGAAGTCTTGAAAGGTCTCGTTACTAGCGCAAAAGTCCTCAAGAATCTTAGTATCCTCGGGGCCGAAGTAGGATCTGCTATTAGATTGCAGAATGGATAAGTCTAGGCCAAACATCTTCTATAAGAAAGAAGGGCACGATTAGGACTATCATTTTAAAACATAATGGTAAGTACGTACTGGTAAGGCTTTTGCTGCCATCTTGATAGCTGAAGTTGGTGCAAGTAATAAATACTTATGAATCGAAAAATCAGTACTGTGAATATGAAGATAATTTTTAGTTTTACGTGGATAAGAGATTTTATATAGATGCTCATACTGTATGGTTAATTAAAAATGCCAATATAAAATAACAGTTAAGCTTAATGGATTAAAGAAATCAGATGAGCAAAATGAAATAAAATAATTAAACGAATCAAACGAATCAAACGAATCAAACGAATTAAATGAATCAAATAAAATTTATAAAATTTATAACTTTTATAATTTATTTGACGAGTTCCTGTTATAACGCTAGATTTGCTATATTAAAGATAATTTCATATATCAAAACTCATAAGTTTCTCTTTCTTATCATCACTTTCATTATTTTAATCATTTTAATTATTTCAATCATTTTAATCGTTCAATTATTTTAATAGATTTAATCATTTTAATCATTTTAATCATTTTAATCATTTTAATCATTTGAATCATTTTAATCATTTTAATCATTTTAATCATTTTAATCATTTTAATCATTTTAATCATTTTAATCATTTTAATCATTTTGATTATGAAAGTTATTATTATGATTCTCTGTATATTAGTTTTGCCATTCATCATAATTATTATAAACATTATAATCAAGAGATTTATTATACTTATTATAATTTTTTTAAGCGTTTCAATCATTATACTTAAGATACTTACGATAATGTTTTGAATCATCTTAATTATTATTATCATTTAAATTTATTCGTATGATTGACTGCTAGGGTGGAGTAGCGCGTGATTGAATTCATACTCCTTTTAGTACTTTAATATAAGTATCGCTTCAAGCTATTAAAGATACGAATCCTCAAAGTGATTATTGGCTAGCATTTCGACTCTTAAATGACAAATAGTAAGTAATTCTGCTAATAAAACACCCTTTTCTTTAAGATTACATTCTTTATTCGTTCAACTTCTTATATTAAAGTTTAAAGTCCGAACGACTTTTTTAGGCTATCTTCGACGGCATATACAATGCTGCTCCGGTGGCCAGTCGACTTTCGCCAGCAGTCTATTCCTATCTTAACCGAGCCAGTCTGTATCGACTTGAAGCTATCCGGCAATGAGCTCTATACCCTTTCAGTATTGATATCATCTCCTGAGGTCGACGCATGGATTTCTCAGTACGGTGACATCAGCGGATGGTATAGAATTCATTCTGCATATCTATGGGCGCTTTTTGGCTGGGAAGCTTCTTGGTCGGAAGGAAGTATAATACTCCAGCGTATTATCCACAGTTTGATGGAAGATAAGATCTGGGATATATGGAGCTGTAAGTACGCGCAAGACATACTGGCGAAGCCCGCCACCATGGAGGCTGCTGTTTCCGAGGTGGATATAAAAGCCCCTATCAAGACCTCCGCTATACATTCTAGTACCAAGATGGATAAGACTCAGATGCTCAAGCCTATTTGCCATCCGCCAACTTCGAACCGAAACTTATGGAGGGGCGCTTGTTATTGCTATTGCATTACCTTCGCGATCTTGGCTTTAATAGGGGCTCTTGGCATCGCAATGATATTATCGCATTCTGTCAATTGTGCTCAGCCGAAGGAGACAACCATACACACTGTTTATGTAAGTTTAGCTTCCTTATCTATCCTTTATTTTCATTGATATGAGAATCCGGCCCTGATCAGACGCTATAGATGCTTCAAGAAACGCCAATATCAGTCACCGAACCCGTACCTTTTAGCTTGATTAATTCTGTATCTTTATCTCTTACGCCTCTTGCTATGGTTATAAGAACAATAGCTATAAGAGCACAGGAATCATCGATAGACCTTACGCCTTCTATTACGATCGGATCTGAAGCTGTCTCTTTCCTACCTTTGCCAATAGCCTCCGGTTTACCAACAGTTTCTTATCCCGACCCTTTAAGAAATATATTTCTTTCAGCTGGTACTTGTCCTGTAATATCACAAACACGGAATACCGAGTCAAGTGGAGTATACCTTGCAGCGTCAAAGCCGACATTCGATTCTACGGTATCTGCTCCGCCTCCGCCTTTTGCTACACCTTATCCATCCGTGCAATACGAGATCAATCCGCATATAGTAACTATCGTCGCACCATCAGTCATCTTGTTGATATTACAGTCCATCTGTGCTGTACTATCGAGCTTTCTACTTATCCAAGGGCTTAGAAGGCTTTGCAAGAAGATGTACGATTTTTATACTCAGCCAGCTACCAGTACGATTGAAAATACGTTCTTTACAAATCTCTGGAGTGATGACGATGCTATTAGGCAATGGGACGATTGGTTGAGTCAATCTATTAGGAATATGTAATTGTTTATTGATTTCGGATATCTTGATATGGAAGCATGTACATTATTGAACTTGAAATTTAAATAGCTGTTTATACTGATTACCAGGGCAAAGGACCAAGTTCTTTGTAGTGTCACCAACGGGCGAATTACTTGATTATGAAAATCCTTATATATTTAAATAAATTATAAAACAAATTATAAAAGAATCTAAATAAATATAAAGACAGTTAACGTAAGAAATAATTTAGTTAATAATTTATTATAAAAAAGAAACCTTTTAAAAACCTTCTTTTTACCGGGAAGACCTTAGATCTTTTTATAATTTACTTATATTTTAATAATTTTTTATAAAAAGGGAATCCGTTCAAAACCTTCTTTTTACTAGAAAAACTCTAGACCCTTTTGCAAATTGCTTATTTTTAATAATTCAATATAAGGGGGAGACCCCCTTAAACCCCTCTTTTAAGTTTTTACTAAGAAAATCCTATACCCTTTTGCGAATTACTTATATTTAATAATTTATTATAAGGGGGGGACCCCTTTAAACCCCCCTTTTTACTAAGGAAATCTTATACCTGTCGGTATCTCTATATCGACCTTAGCTAGCTAGTAGTAGTAGTTAGGGAAAGCTCACCCGTGAACTATGGTTCACGGGTCACTTGGCATGCTTCGCTTAGCATGTTAGCAGTCAAGGGACCTTTAATTTGATAAGTAAACCTATTAGTTAGCTAATGCACGTGATTCCTTTTAATCATATAAAAAGAATCAGCTCTTTTGAGTTTTAAAGAGCAGACAGAATTCAAATACTTTATTAACCGAGTGTTTTGCAATTGCAAGTACTTTGACGAACGTTACGACCTTACGAATATATTCTTAATCGCTTAAAAGCAATCTAACACTAATCAATAGTTGATTTATTATTAAGTGATCAATCATAAAGAAGCTAAGAATACTTTATAGCGAAGATACTTTATTACTACGATACTTCTTTTTTTTTACAACGGAAGAGCGATTCCGTATTAAGTCGCTTGCTTATACTACCGATTTTTCTTATTCTTACGGAAGAGTGATTCCGAACCAAGTTACTTTCATACAACCTTTAAAGCTGTAAAGCCGCGCTTGCTATACATAGCAAACCTATTTAATATGATCGATTTACGTACGAGCAGATAGCAAATATAGCCGATCGAGCAACTAGACTTTTAAGTAAAGAGTCTAGCCGATAAAGAGCAATAAGTATTGCTGGTATCAATCTGATGATAGTACCAGGTCACGAGGAAGCTTTGCTGATATTGTGGTTGATTGACTTGTATTATCTAGGACTAGGAATTAAAAGCGAGGTTATAATAAAAGCGTGCCAAGGCTGAGGTCCGTGCGTGTACGTGTACGTGCACGTGCACCGTACACTATGCTCTCACCTTACACTCTATTTAGCAACACACCCTTTTGTCGAGGCTTTAAAAGCTCTCGGCAGTACCTTAATTATATTTAAACTAATATACTTTTTCTATAAAGTAAAAGTAAAAACACTTCTAAAAGCATAGTCTATTTAATTTCTACCGAATGTAGCAGGTACGACTTTTAAAAAGAGAAAAAATCTTTCATGACATACCCTTACCACCTTTTTGCTAAGAAAACACCTTTTGCTAAGCTCTATAGCTTTAACACCTTCATTCGAAGCAGTTGTATAAAAGCAGCGTGATCTGTATCATTCAATAGTTTTGTTATACCGTCGGCGATATTCTCTTTGTTAAGAATATATTACAAATCGAGTCGTCTTTCTGCCACTTTATAGCGTACGTAATAGAACTTGATGTCGATATGCTTAGTTCTTTAGTAGTATTCAAGGTTTTCAAAGAGTAAAAGTGCTTTTTATAAGTCATAAATCATCTCAATTTTCTTCGCGTTAACCTTCTTATAGCCAACCTTATTGAGTACCTGCTTAATCTAAGCGGCCTCTTAAGCGAATTTGCACATAGCTACGTACTTAGCTTCGGTTAAGAAAAGAACTATAATAGTCTAGCGTTTGGAAATGACGTTAAAAACGCTTCTTGCAAAAAAGAATACTCCTCCGCTATATAAGACTCGACCTATTTTAAAGCCGGCCTAATCAAAATCGTAATAGCTTATCAATTTAATAAGCTTAGCGTCCTTTCTATTAAAAACAATTAACAGCATACGAGTACCTTATAAGTATTATAAAACGCGCTTTGCGATAGCCATATGTTAAAGTGACGGATTAGTCAAGAATTTAGCTAATAAAAAGCAGTAGTAAGCAATGTCTTATCGAGTGTAAGTTGCGAAGTATTGCAAAGAGCTAACGATTAACTAGTATAGTATAATCTCGTATTAGATAGCTTGGCTTTCGAATTTGATTATATAAACTTCGGAACTTATTGCAAAAAGTGTAAGTGCATTCTTGCAATTAGATATACCGAATCGGTCTAACACCTTGTTAATATAAGCGTCTTAGCATAAAGTAATAGTACTTGCGGGTCGATCTTTAACGATTTTGACTCTTAAGAAGTAAATAGCTTTACCGGTGCAAATGATATCGAATAAGTCGTATAAATCTTTTTTGAATTGCTCGTAAATTAATTTCGATTTACCGATCATTCAGAAGTCGTTAACATAAGTGATAATCATGATTTTAAAGTCTCTATTAATATAAACACAGTTATCGGTTTTTATAAAAGCGAATCTTAACTTAACAAGTCGCTTTCGTAGCAATTTTTATTAAAAGCGTAGTGATTGTTTAAAGCTATATAAAGCTTTAAGTAGCTTTAAGCAGTCCTTATTAATAAGAGTATAGCCGAATTCGACTTATCTTAATAGAGCTTTAATATAGATGTCATTATCAACCTTACTATTCAAGAAAGCAATGTTAACATCGAACTGTTAAACTTTTAGGTCGTACAAAGCGGCTAAAGCAATTGCAAGCTTTTAAACAGCTAATTTGCATACTCTAGCGAAGGTCTGATCGTAATCACGGCCTTTTTACTATATATAGCTTTAAACTACGAATCTTACTTTATATCGCTCGATCTTTCTATTCTTATCTTTCTTAGTCTTAAATAATAAACGTAAGCTTAAAATGCGTCTACCTTTAAAGATATCACGCTTTTTCATAATTGACCACGTCTCTTTGCGTCGAAAAGCAAAGTACTTTTTAATAATAGCTTAGCGCTAGTTATTTGCATTTAAGCGTGCAAGAGCTTCTTTTATAATCTAAAGATCGTCTGCAAATAATGACTCCTTAGCAGCGTTGAAGTAGGTCTATTAGTAAGTGTTTGTGTTAATTCCTTCCTTAATAGTTACGTTTGCTAATAGAACTGCAGCAGCGTTGCGAGTGCTAGACCGAGTATTTACTCGTTTCGAAAAGGGAACCTGAAGGTAGATTTTGCGTAGTCTCCGAATAATAAGAGCCTTATCATTTACTTTAAAGGGAACAACCTCCTTTTCGACCTCCTTTTCAACCTCCTTTTTAACGTTTAAGGAAGGAGCTCTATAAGGTTCAAGGAGCTTGTCGGTAGCCTTTTCGTCCTTAGTCTTTTCTAAATTATCATCGAAATCTAATCTATCTTAAACGTAATGATCAAGGCTTTTAAAAGACTCTTAATCTTGGTTATGCTAATTAAAAGTAAGCTGATTACGGTCAACTTGGTCACTTTTAGCTTTAAATAGCACTTCTTCTTTTTCTTTAAAAGTAAGTTCGGTAACGAGTCTATCTTTATTAAAACGAATATAAGAAGTACGAACCACTTTTTTACTAGATCGAAAAAGAACGTATACTCGCTAGATGTTATTGCTTTCGAAACTAACTAATATTCCGACCTTAGCTTTAAACGCTAGTTTGCGACTTTGTACGCGGCGTTCAAGCTTAATTAAGACGTAGACTTTGCATCCGAGTACTTGCAAGTGCTTGACCGAAGGTTTATAAATCACTCTTAGCTTAATATTATCTTAGAAAGCCTCGTAAAAAGTCTTTCTATTTAAAAGAGTAGTGTTGGCTATAAGATTAATAATATAGATTACTACTATTAAGCACTCGAGCTATAAGAACTCAAAAATATTTTAATCAATAGTTGCGGTGCGTAGCTTTTCTATTAAAGTACGAATAGATCGCTTTAATCTACCGTCTTGCTTAAAAGTATAAAGTATTGATTCTTTAAGTAATATATTAAAGTGGTCGGCCAACTCTTTCATTTGCTTAAAAGAGTATTCTTTACTTCCGTCGCAGCGCTACACTTTAATAATACGATTGTATTAAGTCTTAGCAAAGCGAATCATCTTCTTATTAACGAAGAACGCATTACTCTTGACTGCATAAGTGTATCTTTACTTAGCTATTATAACAAAGCAAGTGAAGATTAAAGCGTATTTGTGACCGTGAATCTTAATAAGAGTCAAATGGACCACATCTACGTATAGCTCTTATAAAGCAATCGTAAGTCTTTTGCGTGCTAACACTTTATTAATCTTCCGAATAAGACGACCTTTTTCATAAAAAGCGCAAACACGTGTTCTATTAGTTTTGGTCTTTTTGAACTTCATTTTTATAACATTACCTTAAGTGTCGCGAACTGCTTATAAGCCAGCATAGTATATACGTCTATACTAGAGTTCAATATTAATAAAAGCTTTTTTAATAACTGCAAATAAAGCGTAGCTAGTGACAAAAGCAGAAAGTGCGCAAAGGCTATCTTTAATAATGAACAGCTTAGCATCTATTTTATAAATCTCTTTGTCGGTAGCCGTAAGCAACTTACTTCTTTTCAAATAATTACCGATTTTGCTTAACTTTAAACTTGAGTACAAATTGACGGGACTTTAAAGCATATAAAGCGTGTTCTTACACTCAATGACGCTTGCCAAGCTTCGTAATCTAAGGCATTTGATAACACAAGTGCTAATATTAAAAAGGCGAACTAAGCCTCTTATAATATTCATAAAAAAGAGATCCTCTTTAGCTATATAAATAATAAACTTAAAGAGATCATTACAAACGTAATCAATTGC